GTTTGTGAAGGTAAGTTTAGTTGATTTGGTTTCAATTATGAGAAATATGAACTATATATATATATATATATATATATATATATATATATATATATATATATATATATATATACAGATTGAACGAAATAAATTCGGAACATAGGAATATAATGTATTTCGGCTCAATTCTGCTGTAGCTGGTTGGCCAACAAAAGATTGTCAAATAATTATATTATAAAAAATCCCATACTTCAGTGGGCTGCTGGATTCTGAACTCATAAAAATTAAAAGCTACACATAAATCTACGATTTTATTATGCTGTCAAACCAGTTATAGTCCAGGAAATGTAGCATTTCACCTCGCAATTTTTTCGTGCGGCGTGGATTGACTTGAAATTTAACAGAAGGTAGGTAATAGCCTAAGGATCAAAATCTATATCGAACCAAAGTGCGCCAAAGCCTAGGGGGTGGTTGCCACCCCATCTCCGGGGTGAAATTTTTTTTACGTTTTAACTACAGGTTTCGATTAGAAAAGTGATTCTAAACAAAAAATGTGCTATACATTTTTTTATAAAATGATATTTTTCAAGTTATTCGCGATTGAAAGTAACAACTTTTAGACGAAAAAATCCACGTTTTTAATCGATTTTTCGCAAATAACTCGAAAATGGTGCATTTTATCAAAAAAATTGTAGAGAACAAATTTGTAGCTTTTAAAAAGACAAATACAGTCACAAATACAATATCAATGTTCAGCGATTTTCTTCAAATGCCAAATTTGAAAGATTTAAAGTCAAATATCGGGAAAATGATGCATTTTTGGAAGAAAACTCACAAAACGTTTTTTAAAGAGCATAAATAGACCTATCATAAAAAAAATAAGGTTAATACCTCATTTTTTACGAAAAAATCGAGGAAAACAACAACCTAACCACCCCCATAATTAAAATCGATCTTCACCCTTCTGCAATTCCCTTTGTAGATGTATTGTTAATACGTCCAAGAAGTTTGACTCATTTAAAATGCTTAGTTTTAGAAAAAGTACAGCTTAAAGCGAGAAACGATTTACAATTTCATATTTTTTACCCTTCTTTTTTTAAATATGCCCGAAAATACTGAATATATGAAAAAAATAAAAATTACCAAATTGTAGCTTTTTTAATGACTAAAATTATCCTTTATTTAGATTTGTTGTACAATGAATATTTGGCGAGATATAGCCGTTTAAAGCATCGATTTACGATCAAGCACCATCTTTTTCGAGCCCTTTAAACTCACCCCATTTAAAAACCAAGGGTTCCAAAAAGATTTAATCCACAGATCCTTGTAGCTATTAAAAACCTCTACAAATCGTTTTTGAAGAAACATCTATCGTTAAAAATTAAAGGAAATACGTTAAACAAAACCAGTTAATTTTTTTCCGGAAAATTCCATTAGTATAGTACAGTACATTTCGCAGCATAATAATCTACAAAACCGGTATATTAGCTAGTGGGGCGTTATACATTCGAAATGTTAAGCGTTCTTATTTTGAAATCCCATACAACAGAATAAAACATCTGCTCATATGTCTATGGCTTGGCAATGAAAATATCAGAGAAACAGATTCTGGATGGTTTTCCAAAGATGGTTTGTTATTACCCGTACGCATGAACAAACAACCTGCACCCGATAAATTTTTGAAAATTATTTTTTTCCAATGCAAAAAAGGGTGCGGCGTTTCATATGGGTGCAGAAAAGTTGGTTTATACTGTAACTCTACTTGTTCTGGGTGCTCAGGTGAAGGGTGCAATAACAGTCCACCAATAATTGAGGAAGATGATGATGACATAGATCACATGAAGATGTAATTGATGACGAATAAAATTAATATTATAATTGTTTTACCTATAAATGTAAATATTTTCAACTATTTATGTAAATGTATAAGAATATATGGTGCCTTTTTATGTTGATAATTTTGTTTGTATTTAATTCTACTTTTTTCAATTTATATCTTATAAATTAGTTTATAAAAACTGCAATGTTGTAAAGGGTGATTTTCAAAAGTTGAAAAGTTGCAAAATTTTGGCAAAAAATTGTTTTCACCTATAGCACTCATAACAATTGATTTTTAAGGGTTGAAAATGTATGAATTTGTATTTTAAAGTATAAAAAACTCACTATTTAACTAATCCAAACCAAATTTCACTCATCTTAGGATTTGTAATATTATTTTACAATTTTTGAAAATCAGGGGTAGTTTTCACCCCTAAGAACAATCAGGGTTCATCGGCATGACATAAACTATAAAGTAGAGGGAGAGTTGAGCTTAATTCCAAATTTTTATGCAAGTCGTTCCAAGGTGAAATCATTTTCTTCTCATTACTAATTTTTTTATATTAATCTCTAATGAGGGTCGCTTTTTAAGGGTTGAAATATGATAGAACTTTATTGAAAAGCACGAAACTATCATTAATTAATTAATTCAAACCAAATTTTACCCATATTCAGGTTTAATATGTTATTTTATAATTTTTGACAATTAGGGGTAGTTTTCACCCCTAAGAACAATCAGGGTTCGTCGACATGACATAAACTATAAAGCAGCGGGTTAATTGAGCTTAAATCCAAATTTTTATCCAAATCGATCCAAGGCGAAATCATTTTTTTAGAATTAGTAATTTTTTACATTAATCTCTAACAAGGGTTGCTTTTTAAGGGTTGAAATATGATGGAAGTCTATTCAAAAGTATAAAATAATCATTATTTAATTAATTCAAACCAAATATTACCCATATTGAGGTTTAATATGTTATTTTATAATTTTTGACAATTAGGGGTAGTTTTCACCCCTAAAACCCTTCAGCGCACTTCGGTTCGATATAGATTTTGATCCTTGGGCTATTACCCACCTTCTGCTAAAATTTCAATTGGATACATGCAGGGCGAAAAAATTGCGAGGTTTTAACTTTTTTCGAGCTTCAATTCCTGAACTATTAAGCCTCCTTAGACAAACCCGTCTTACGCAAACAACTTTGTTGCGAGAGAGATAGTTGAACGATATTTTATACACTGTTTATACCCAGGTATGGATTTATTTTTGTCCAAGTTTTATATTGGTCCACTATTTTAAATGCAGTTCAAACAGACATGTATTAAATTGTATGTTCCGTTTTAATTTGGTTCAATCTGTATATATATATATATATATATATATATATATATATATATATATATATATATGTATATATATATATATATATATATATATATATATATATATATATATATATATATATATATATATATATATATAAAATAAACAAATTTTGCAAAAAGTGTGTAAAAAGATGTAACAAATAAAGTTCACACTTACATGGATTTGTTACAGATGTCATTTCAACTGTACAAGAAACATGATTGGAAGTGTTTCCTGCTGGGTCTGCAAAATTTCTTTCTTCCCCAGTTACCAGATCACATGGTGTACCCTAAATATATAGCGAAAATATGAGCACATTGATAAGTTATACAGATATTAAATGGCAATGACATGCAGAAATCAAAATATCAGTTCTGTAGAACCTACTGAATAGAACTAGAGCTTATAAATATAATATAATTGAAGTAAACTTACATAAAATAGTAATCATAGTTGACCGCAAAAAAAATTTAAAATCTAGAGCTTTAAAATAGCAATTTAGAATAGTTGAACAGAAAAAAAAAGAAACAAAATACAAAATAAAGTACAATAAATAAATAAAGTCCATGTAATAATGAACAAGCAAATTATTTGCATGAAAAAAGAAAATAACTTACTCTGTTATTAGATTTGTTAAAGACTTCACTGGCTAAAAGTTTTAAAGGCCCACAATAAACTCCAGATTTTGATGTAATAAACCTTTCTAAAGCGTGGTATGTTTTTCCCGAATTGGTAGGTCCAGAATGAAATATGATTTTTCTGTTTATAGCTCTTGCTTCAGGATACCAGTTAGCAGGTGATCTTAAATCAGAAATTTTTCTAAGATCGTCCATGCAGTCAAGATGGGGAAACATCATTTTGGCATGGCGTAGAAAATAGGGGAAAATATCAGTAATATTTCCAGCTCCCTGTAGAATGTCACTGAAGACTACATGTATATCTGCTGGTAAATTTTGTGCTTCTAGGCAATACCTTCTGAAACTCACATAGGCTTGGTGCTGAAGGTACTCTAAAATTGAATAATTTCACATAAAAATAATACAGACTTTTCACAGTATACTAATACCACACACAATTGGGAAAAATAAAATAGGAAATAATTCACTCGAGACTACTTAAGACTATATTGGCTAATACTTACGATCTAATCCATTATCTACTAGTAATGCTTTAATTTCTTTTTTCTGAAAAAACTTATTCAAAACCTTTAATAAATCTGTTTTATTCAAAGTTCCTGTAAGTTCTGCTCCGACATTTATATCATCTGCACTGGGTTTAATTTGAACAGGAACAAATAACGAGGATAAACTTGAATCATCTTTCTTGTGTCTAGTTTGTAAATAACCAACTACACATTTTGCGTCGTTATCTTTAAATAATTTGGAAAGCTTTAACCCTCGTACCGTTGCACACAAATTTCTAACTTTACTAGTGTTCTGTAACATTATCAAAAATATATAAAACAAAAACCACCAAATTTTTAGTAGACAAACATATCAAAATAAGTATTTTTTAAATATTACAAGAAAAGCCAAAAATTATGAATTTTTAGGTTAGATGCTAAACTTAGGATAGGTTATGGTTTATAGTAAGTTAGTTATACAGTCAGGTAAAATCGTTATTTAAGTAGACAGAGTTTAGGAATAATGAAACAGTATTTACTTGTGAATAAACTAAAATTTATATATAACTATTTTAAATTAATAAACAGATAAGCGCGAGAACTAAAAATATTGGTTTCTTAGTTTTGCGTAGTTCAATCGTTCCTAATTTACTACATTTGAACTACTGCCTTTCGAGTTTGCGCGAGAATTTTTAATTTAAAAATAGAATATTGATCGTAGTTTTAGCACATAGAGATTATGTTTTAAGTGTTTATTCATTCTCATAAGATACGATCTTACAAGATAAATAATGTTAAAAATCGCGATAAATCTGTTTTTATTGTTTTGCACACTATCAAATGCAAAAGATGCAAATGTACTCATGACTGAGGTTTTCGCAATACCTTTGGATCCTCCAATGTTTAATTGGACTTATGAAGGATTTGAAGAACAGTTTGTGTACCAAGCTTCCTTATTAAATGCTCCCGATTTACCTTCCTGGATTAATTACCTATACAGCGAACAGCATTACTCTGGGTTTTTATATGGCGTACCTCCAAAGATTAATGAAAATATTCCACTAGAAGTCGTCGCACTTAATAAAAAAAATTATGAAACTAGGGTTGAAAACATCAATATTATTATTTCTGAAAAACTGAACTCTGCGAGATATGAAGTACTTTTAAAAATTGACAACATAAATGTAGAAGATATGTTTGATGTGGATCGAATGGAAGCGCTAAAGAATGTTTTTCGTAAAGAATTATGGAAAAATAGTGCTTACGATTTATACGTGACCTTTCTTAATTCTGCTGTTGATTTAGGAGCTAGAAAACCAGCAAATCCTAGGGAGGGAGAAGGGTAAGAGTTTAGAGATTACTTAAATAATGTAAATAAGTTGTGTCTGTTACTTTTAGGGTCGTAATAAGACTGGGAAGTGAGAACTCGTTTTCTACAGAGCTGATCGAACTTCAAGAAGAAGTTAAACCACTATGGAAAGTTCCACAGTGCCCAAGAGACTACAAAAGAACTTCTGTTGAAAGATATTTTAGAGATGCTGGATTTGCCTTGGACTGGTGTTCGTTTAGACTGGTAATATATGTTTTAATTTATGAAATTGTTATGTTTTTCAATTATTTATCCTTTACAGGTTGATAATAACAATTCGGCAATGCATCATAAAAATGGAAACTTAGTGAGTGATGAGGTAGATGATTCTGAAACTGGTGGAGTTTGGCATTCTGTATCAAAGGCAGATGTTCCCCAAAGACGATACTTTAATGAACTTGTGGTATCGCTGATAGTTCCTTTTGTAATATTGATTGTTTTGGGACTAGTTTTGTCATTTCTGCTATGTTTTCAACATGATGAAATGTAAGTAGGTACAATTTCAAATAGCTGACGATATTTTACAAAGCTCAAAAAATATGAAATTCATACTTTAAACTATGCAAATGATCTATGTGTATGCGTGTTTGGAGAGTGTGCTTTTGAAAAATAGTCTTTTAGCCACAGAATTTTGTTTTTAAATAATATAACCAATTTATTCCCATTCCATCCAATTTTTGCCTTCGCAATGGTGATCGTCAACGTTGGGTAATTCTGATATAGCACGCGAAGAAGAAGAATCTAAAACCTGGTAACCTGAATGAATTTTAAACTCACTCTAAGTATCATCATAAACGATTAAGTGTACGCAATCGCTCAAATTAGGATAGCATTAAATAGATTTATGTGTTCAATTTATCCAAAATATTAAGTGCTTCTGAAATCCCATCTCCATTGGAAAACCACTCATCATTATTAACCTCCGAAAGGTGACGACATTTTAAGAAGAATAGCGAATTGTAAATATTTCAGACGTAAAGATCAGCTATAGTGATGCGGAAGTACATTTCAAATTTAAAATCTGCTTATTTTCAAAAATATGTTTGATGTGACTTAATGTTTTTTGAGCTCAGTTGTCTCATTGTTCAATTTGTTTTATTTTTTAGCGAAGACGAAAGTGACCATTATTTCCATAATTTATTTCACATTTGTACGGATTATTACTATGATCATTATATTTACAAAAGGTAACATAAATGGTACATTTTATAACCGCAGAAATTCTGAATGTTGCTAAGTATTTTACTAACAATTTGGGAATTTCCATTATCTAACATTATTAACATTTAACATAAATATTTACAAAACCATTGCATATCATTTATTACTCCTTTTTCCATAAAGAGTAAACATTGCTATCGATAATACACTACATGGAAAAGTATAATAAAAACAAGAATTATTAAACTCTACAGGCTTCTGGGTTGAACTGAGTCGATTATCACCACGTCAAGCTTTCGATATCTTCTTTGAGGTCTTCTTCAGAGCTTCCAAGGTACACTACTACACTGATCAACAATCTGCAACTACTGCTACTGGGAAGAGCGGACGGTCCATTTATACCGTGGATGGTGTCCTGGTTTGGGTGGTGATTGGCGCAAACGTTTATGGAGACGGGATTTTGATTGGAGGGTTCAGCGGACCATATTTTCTTTATGGAAGGTCTCCATGTAGAGGATAACCAGATGCCGTCATCTCTTTTATTCAGACAATTTGGCCTTTTTCACTTTCTATGACTTTTCGGATAATTCTTAGTTTATAGAAGCGGGTGTGAGCTATAGTGTTTTCAAAATCATTTTTGTGACCTGTATGAATTAAGATAGTGTTGACTTAGAGCTGAAATTGAATCGGAGTTGCGAACAGAAATGGTATGTCTATAAATCCTATTTTGGATTCTTCGATTTGTTTGGCCTATATAAGATCTGGGACAGTCTACACAAGAAATGTCATAAACTCCATGTTGTTCGTTTGGAATGTTGTTTGAAAATGTATGTTTGCCTAGCAGTTTTACTCTCTATTAAATACAGGTGCATGTTAATTAACAAGATTATGAAAAGATTTAGATTTTTGAAACATATTTTTATATCATATTTACCTGCAACATATTTGTTTCAACAAAATTAGTTATTAACTAGAATTTAATGTGGTTCTAATTAGTGGGTCCTGAGAGATTAAAATAGGCGAAGGTATTTATTGAATCCCTTATAGCCTGTAATTGAGTTTTTGACCATTCGGAGAAACTGATACTTTACTTTAGCGATACTCCCAAATTAGTGGCAAATGAATGGTACTCTAATAAGTTTTTTATAGTAACACTTATGATAGAAAAGTGTTTGTATATTGACAGTAACTAATATTTAATTTGGACGTTTATTTTACTGGGTGCAAATTAAATTAATTACTTACCTGTCTTCTGTTAGAAATTTTGTAAACTAATAGTCCGTCCGTTTAAATGTACACTTGTAAAACATTTACATCAGGAGTTAGTCTTTACTTCAATTGTGCTTTTATTTTTGTATTTTATATTATATCTCTAGTAACTCTGCTTGAATTTTTATAAGCTTGGCTTAATACTTGTGTGAAATTTTGTAGGTAAAATCTTACCTTAATGCAACAAAAACTAGGTAACTCGTTTTTAGTAGTAATAAGATGACATTTATTTTTAAAAGTAATATTTGAGCAGTAGGTTAATTTGACAATCTTGTGGTACTACAGCTTCTGTAACTCATTACTAAGATACCTCATCATCGTTGGCGCTACAGCCCTTCATGAGTCCTGGCCTGCCTCAAAACATTCTTCCATCATTACATAGTATCTGTGTTTTAATACTTAAATAGGAGATACCTAGTACTAAAATTAAAGTTGGCGAAATGTATTTATATTAATTTAATATATAATTCCAATTTTTAACAGGAAATTATTTTATAATTGACGTTATTGTTAATTAACTAGCAAATTTATTGTTTTTAGAGCAAGTCACATAGATGACCTAACATCAGACCAAATCAGCTACGCTGAAACAGTTCACAGACCTGTAGAGACTTTCAGAAGTTTTAGCAACCGAGACAGTACACTCTCGCCTGATCTCTGCAGCCATTCCAACAGCCCAAACTCTACGATTAACAGGGGCGTGCATTGTAGACCTAGTCCTCCACCTTACGTAAGACCCAAGTTTAAGTCTGATTTGTGACAAAATGGAGACGAAGAGGAGAAAACGTGGTATTGCTAAGCAGCTAACATTCAACGTCAACGTGTGGTAGTTGGAGTAGTGTCAGAAGCGACTGATGATGATTTTGTAGCAATATTTGGAAGCTGTACGCAGTTTTGGTTTTTGGAAGGATTATAATTGTATTTATAACATTTTATTACAGGCAAATGGATATAAATTATTAGAAAAATCAAAAAATTACTAAAATACTAACATAACAAATAAGAATTTATAATTTTAGATTTACCTATGTAATTTTCAATCACTTTTTTTACAAACCTTTATTGTTAGACGTATATATCCTTCCTTATGCAAAAATTATGACATCAATAAGAAATAAAATAAACTAAAAAAATGTCTTATTTATTACTACCTATTAGCACAGAATAAGAAACAATCAAAATGTCCAATCTCAGGGGCCGCCTTTGAAGCTTTTCAGCACGCGATCGCCATGTTTTAGACGGAAACATAGACTCGAATTAAGACATTTGTGACAAGCTATGACAGAACCGAAATTTAAATTTTTAGATATTAATAATTTAGTACATTTGAAATAATTTAATCTATTCTTCAACTAAAAGTACGAATAAAATAGTGCCTAATATGTCTATAGTTGCCGAAAATAAATTAAACCGGGTTAATTTTTCTATACACACCAGATAAAATGTCACTGAACAGCACTGGTTCCGTTTAAAACATGGCTGATTCCGTCTGCGTGAACGAGATGCGCGTACTTATTTTTTCAAGGAGAGTGGGCATTCTGATTGTTTCTTATTCTGTGCCATTAGCATACACGATATTATAAAGAACAATACAGGGTGGTGAATCGTCAAACGGACCATAGGAAACTCAATGGGAAATTCTAAATTGTTAAATTCCTGCTTCCCTAATTATTTTACACCAAAAGTCATCGGAAACTATTTGTAGAGGACTCAAATATGTATAGAAAACAACTGTTAAAATTATTCTACGACTTAAACGTATTCCAAAATTTTGCTAAAATATAATACATTTTTCTGTGAAAAAATATGTATTACGTGTTGCGTTTTGTCATATTATTGTTTCTGATATTTGACAATATTTAAATCAATTATATTATACTTATCTATGATTTAAATGGCCAAAATTTTGTGATTTATTGTTAAAAAAAATTAAGTTGATTAAAAAATGTACTCAGTTGAGGAGAAAAAAGCAATAATAAAAATGTTTTATTCATGTTTTGTTATAACATTTGTTATAGTTTTATGTTTAGAAATTATCATATATTATTATTAGGAATAAAGATCACAGTAACAGTATATTGGAATTCATTGAATTGTTGTATAACTTAACATGGAATTAAATTTTAGTGAATTAGAATATCTTACGTTAAATAAAGATCCGGTAGTGGCAGGAAAAGGTTCGCTATTGCCTGAATACAACATTATGCGATTTTTCGTCAACTGAGTACATTTCATTATATTAATCGTTTTATTGTTCACAAAGTAATAATGTTCATTAGTAGTAGTATTTAGTAAAATTGATTGTTTATAATTTATTCATAAAATAAAAAAATTAACAATTCAAATATCTGACATCAATATGATAAAACACACACGTTCTAATATATATTCTTGCATTACGTGTGGCCTAACTTTTAGGGGTGGCCTAAAAAATGTATTATATTTTTGCAAAATTTTGAAGTAGGTACATTTGATTCGTAGAACGGTTTTAACATTTGTTTTTAATTCAGATTTTAGTCCTCTACAAATAGTTTTTTATGACTTTTGATCTAAAATAATTAGGGAAGTAGCAATTCAACAATTTAAAATTTCTCATTGAGTTTCCTATGGCCCGTTTGACGATTCACCACCCGGTATGGTTCCTCTACATCGAGCAATAAGACAAAAGAGGGAATCTAATCGTTATAAAAAGGAGACCAAAAAAGTGGCCTCTGATGGCGGACACATCCGGAAATGCAAAGGCGCTAAATTTAAATTTTCCAACATTTGTTAACAATAGCTATAAAATATTTTTCAGACTAGAAAGTTTTAATTAAATATTAACGATAATAGTATAAAAAGTGACATAATTGGTAAAAAACTTCAATATAAATAAAATTTCATGTGACAGTTGGGACAAACAATAACATAACCAAACTAAATTTGACTTCTTAAACAAGGAAAGAGACTGTCTATCCTTGTCTAAAGTGGCCTCTCAAGATGGCACTTCCTGTCTATCAATATGTTTACCCCTTCTACCTTTACATTCCCTCTTTTGTCTTATTGCTCGATGTTCCTCTACGTCTCTGCGAGTAAATGTCAATATCAAAATTGGATGATAATCTCTATTCACTGAACCCATGATACTATGAATAACAAGATAGGATCTTCCCGTAGCTCAAAATCGGTCGGGTTCGCGCATGCCGTCATTGGAGACTAGAATTTGAATTCTTGTTAAAGTTAAATGAGAATTGTATGCATTCTGTGATGAAGTTACTAGACGAAAATAAGTGAAGAGGTTTAATAATTACAATAATCGTACACATAAGGATATCTCCAAACGATTTATGAATGATTATTTATTGATATATACAAAAACTGACATTTCGAACGTGCAATGACGTCACAAAAACATGCGCAATAACTTATCTTATAGTCATAGTATCATGACTGAACCCAGTCCCATCTTTCTAGTAAATTTAGTAAATTTTTTGCTATGTTAGTCATATTTTGAAGTCCACTGGAAGTAACCGGAAGTTACTACTTTTAATTATTTTTTTTGAAAGTCTATTTCCAATTTTTATTCCCGACGTTGATCCTTCATAAAGCTGTTTAAGGGCGTTAATTACTGTGTGGTTAATGTTTGTTTCCTGCAAAACTTTCCATAGCTTTTTAGCGGGTACAGTATCATAGGCCTTCTGAAGGTCTATAAACATAAGGTTTCTATTATTTGTTTCAAAACAAACACATTATCGGTGCAGCCCCTTCCCGCTCTAAAGCCAGACTGTTCCTCTTCTTCTTGTTCCTTATTTTCTTGTTCGATAATGTCTCGAAGTATCCTTCCATATAGGCGACTTAAGGTACTGGTTACTTATATACCTCGATAGTTTGAGCAGTCCAGTTTACTTCCCTTCTTATGTATAGATGATATGAAGGATACTTTCCACTCATGCGGGACTGGTGCACCGTTTAGATATTGGTTTATACACCAGGTTAATCGTTCAAACAGTTTGTTAGTGCCGCATTTGATTAGATTTGCTGGAATTCCCTCCGGACCTGCAGCTCGACCATTTTTTAGTAGTTGTATCGTTTTTATGACAGTCCTCTCATCGATGTTTATCGTTTCTCCCTGTATGTGTATTTCAGTTGGAGACATTTCTCTATATTCTTCTCTGTTTTCTGTTAATAGATTTTCGTAATGTCGTAATTCTGCTTTGTTTATTAAATGTCAATAAATGTGGACATTTCAATTCCATGGCCTTCTTTGTTAAATGCATTTTGCTTCTCAATCAGACCAGGTGAAATTTTTCCCAAAACTTTAGGACCATATGTTATCTGTGTAACGGTTATGATACCCCCGTCTATCTAGTTGTCCTCAGCATTTGTTCTGCACTTATTAATAATTCAACATAAAAAATAAAACAGTTTTAAAGACAACAATTTATTTTGGTCATTCAAAATATACTTTTTTTATACATAAGTATAGATACATAATATTAACATTTGCAATCACAACATTTGGTAAACAAAAGTACTCTGCTTAACCTAAAAATACTGTAATTCTTTGAGATGACTAAGTACAACGAGCACAAAAGTTAAGTAACGTGCCGATCAATCGTTCTTACTACCTGGATCACAATAAATATCTGTTAAATTTTCCTGGGACTCTACGTTGTCCTGTCTAGACAAACGACCGGAACTTTGGGAACTAGGTACGCTAAAATTACTACAACTTCGTTCGATAGAACCTAAGTACAAGGAAACTGAGCTACCGATATCGTCTGATATTGTTCTGCGGCGTTCTGCGTAATTATTGCTTTGATCCCCCATTCCTTCGGTAAAGCCGTCAGAAAATACGTTAGTTTGACTCAATTCGGTAGCGTCTGTAAGGTTTTGTTCGCTTCTAGTAACCTTAGGTGTCTTTTCTGGTGATAAACTCTTCTGTGACACTGGCGAGAGAGGATAACTTCTAGAACTAGGTGTTCTAATTTCTGAACTGTGTCCAGATTTAGATGGAGTTGAAACTTCAGATACTAGAGGTGTGCTCTCGTTATCACTGGTCTCATTTAAGTCCGGACTCGAATGTAATAATTTCTCTTTTAACCTGTGCAATGTATCAAGGTTAATCTTGGTTTCTCTCTTTTCTCCTTTAGGACTATTATCTATAGACTTAGATCGAGTCCTCAGCCGCCTTTCCCCTTTGTGAAAATTCAAGGAGCTTGGTCGTTGTTTTGTTTGTGAAGCAGTTGTCTTGTGTTCTTGCAAAAGTGGAGTTTCATACGAAACCGAAGCCTTCGTGGTGCTAATGCATATTCGAGGTGGAGTGTCTGGCAACTCAGTTTTGATGACAACGTGGCGGCCTTTTGATGAATTTTCACTTGACTTTAAATTTGAATATTTGCCCATGCTGCCTACGGATATTTTTCTTTCTGGAACTGCACAAACAAAAGCTATGTTATCAAATGTAAGTCAAAATTATAGTTATCTAGCTGTGTTTTGTGTTTTTGCATCCCATAAAAAATTATATACACTTATTCGTAATTTTGTGCTCAATCAAATTGTATGAAAAATAAAGAATCTATAAAATCCACAAGGAAAACAATTCCTGTAGCTGGCTGTATACCACGTATCACAAAAAAGAGGTTAATCTTCGTAAATGGGTATATTTAAAAAACCCTTAAAAGGGCTACATCAAAAAACAAACGTTTTCGGAATAAAACATTCCATCATCAGGTTTAAAATTGCCTAAAATAAGTATAGACCATTTAGTTGAAACAAACGTGGTTTAAAATTTTGACTAGGGTTAAAAAGCAAAAATGGTTATACTTACAAGGTTAACATGCCCGAGCCACCAAAATATAGGGTAAAAACCCTTTAAATTATATGTAGTTGTAAAAGATTGTACATAATGTTGTTATAAATCTGTGATGTTAAATATTAAATTAAATTTGACTTCAGGTAACGTACACCCATGGTTGAAGTAAACCGGAGAGTAAACCTCTTCAAACGGACTACAGCTGGTAACTGATTGACAAGATACCTATGAACGGTGTCGAAAACAAAACGTCAATGTAACATGAAACTATATTAGTTATACATAGTATTCCTACAGCCAAAAGATT